TGACTCATCACGGCTGTAATCCCAGCATTCTGGGAGGCTGAGGCGGGCGGATCACAAGGTCAGGAGATCGAGACCATCCTGACTAACACAGTGAAAACTTGTCTCTACTAAACATACAAAAAATTAGCCGGGCATCGTGGCGGGCGCCTGTAGTCCCAGCTACTCGGGAGGCTGAGGCGGGAGAATGGCGTGAACCCGGCAGGCAGAGCTTGCAGTGAGCTGAGATCGCGCCACTGCACTCCAGCCTGAGCGACAGAGCGAGACTCCATCTCAAAAAAAAAAAAAAAAAAAAAAAAAAAGTTACCTAATTTGTTCTATGTCATTTGGTGAATTTGGCTTTTAAGGAAATTGGGGACTTTGAACCAAATTTAAACAGAATAACAATTCTTTGAACATGGTGAGATGAAATGAACATTTGCAGATACTTTAAAAGAAATATATTGTTTAAAGACTATCTCAGTATGCTCCTTTCCTTAGCAATCTGTATTGTTCTAATGATAAAGACCAAGTGACTTCTAAACAACTTTATTGTGAGGTATCAGTTGTTTCTTTCCCCCACCCCCACTCCGACTGAAAGCTATGCCAACCTTGTTAACATAAGATACAGTGTTGACTTAATTATCTGGGTAATTCAGCTTTTCTTAAAATGAACTTATTGGTCATAATATCCCTTTCCTGGAAGCCCTCCTTTTAATCATCCTACCTCTGTTGAGTTTTTAAAATTCAACACACAGGCTGGACGTGGTGGCTCACGTTTTGGAAGGCCAAGGTAGGCGGATCACGTGAGCTCAGGAGTTCAAGACCAGCCTGGGCAACGTGGTGAAACTCCATCTCTACAAAAAATACAAAAATTAGCTGGGGGTAGTGGTGCACGCCTGTAGTCCCCGCTACTCGGGGGACTGAGGCAGGAGAATCGCTTGAGCCTGGGAAATGGTGGCTGCAGTGAGCCAAGATCACACCACTGCACTCTAGCCTGGGCAACAAGCGAGACTCAGTCTCAAAAAAAAAAAAAAAAAAAAATTCAATATACGACAGTTAAGATTAAATTTAGACCTAGTCTGGGAATCAGAAAAGCCAGAACTTATTCCTAAATTTGTAAGGGCCAGGGGGGTATGGGCTTGAACCTTAGCTCTGCCATTTACTGCTTGTGTCATCTTGAACAAGTACCTTACCATGCGTAGGTCTCTCATTCTTTCCTCATATATATCATATCCTGAGATATAGGCACATACTAGGTGCTCAATTAATGGAAGTGATTAATACTTTTGATTCTCAATCTGTAAACATTGAGATAAAATAATTCTAGATACACAATGATCATAAAGTATTTTATATACCTATAGGGCTCTATAATACAAATGTTATTTCAGTTTCTGCAAAAGGAGATGTGTTCCCATTTTCTCTGGTGCCTATGTAGAGACAGGGCAGATCATTTTATTCCATAGAGCTTTTTTTAGTATAAAAATTCAACCTCTCCCCCTCACCACCTCAAATTACTGCCACTACCAAAACTGAAAAAAACGTGATAATAGGTTTTGCTACTTTTGTTAGAGGAAATAGTCCATAATATTTGGTTTCCTCCCTGACTGAGCTATAAAATGGCTAAGAAATCTATATACAACAGGTAATTTTCATGGAGAAAATCAGAAGTTTCTGGAAGGACTGTTACAGGCTCTTTCCTTAGCCCCTCCACACACTCTGGCTCTGGGGTCATTAACAGGCAATTTCTTTACATGGTCTCACATGTGCAACTTACTTAACTTTCAGTGGAATCTTGTACATAGCTGGATTTCCATTTCAAAAGATCTGTACATGTTTTTAAAGAAACCATGAACTGTGATATTTATCATCATAAAACACCTCATCTAAGAAACATTTAATATAATTTTGCTATTGTTTTGTTCTTGACAAGCCAGGAACTTGAGAGCTCATGAGAAGTTTTATTTTCTAATTTTGCATTTCTTTTCCTTTTTCTTTTTTTTTTTTTTAAGACAGAGTCTTCCTCTGTCTCCCAGGCTGCAGTGTGCAGTGGTACAGTCTTGGCTTACTACAACCTCTGCCTCCTAGGGTTCAACGCAATTCTCCCACCTCAGCCTGCTAAGTAGCTAGGATTACAGGCATGCAACACGATGCCTGGCTAATTTTTGTTTGTTTGTTTGTATTTTTTAGTAGAGATGGAATTTCATCATGTTGGCCAGGCTGGTCTCGAACTCCTGACTTCAACTGATCCATCCACCTTGCCTCCCAAAGTGCTGGGATTACAGGTGTGAGCTATTGTGCCTGACCTCTTTTTTTTTTTTTTTATTGTGGTACAACATGCATATATAAAGTTTACAATTTTAGCCTTTTTTTTTTTTTTTTTTTTTTAATAGAGATGAGGTTTCACTGTGTTGCCCAGGAGCTAAAGCGATCCTCCCACCTTAGCCTAAGCAATCCTCTAGCTTAAGCCTCCCAAAGATTGCCCTCCCGAAGTGCTACGATCATAGATAGGCATAAGCCACCTTGCCCAGCCTAATTTTGCATGTCTTAATCATCTCAAAAGCATGTGAACCTGAGGCTGCATTGACCTTTGTTCTCCCGTGCTACCTCTCCATCTTAGGATTTGTAAATGGCTGACAAATAAGCCATCATTCACTCCCAGCAAGGTGTAATACACCTGCCCACTCAGCAGCAGGACCTACATGTGTCTGTCTAGAACTCCATATAAACTCAAGGACTGCATATTTTCAGCTAACGTAGACCTACTCTTGCAAACTGGTTCATTTCTCCTCCTCTTTACTGTGCTTCAGAAGAGTTGGGGTAAAATGTTCTTCTATTCATCACCCACACATATCAGGCCACTCTTCAGCTCCCACTGTAATTCTTTCCCTCCAGTTTAATGCTGAGAAAGAGTAAGCAAGTCTCGCTCTCTCTCACCCTGCAACATTTTGCAAAACAATTATCATCTGACACCAGAAGGCAAAGCAATGTTTGGAAAACCTATCAATTTCTTCCCCACATTGCTCCACCCTTAATTCTGTGATAAAATATCTCCGCCCGCCAGGCAGCCTATAACCTCATAAATACTCTGGTGTTTTCGGGAAAAGGACCTCAAATGACACTTGTTGATAACATTTTGCTTCTCTGCAAAAACACAACACCGTTACCGTGCTTACATCAGCTATGATAATCAGGTTAGCAATGTTTTAAGGATGAGTTAGAATTATTAGACCCGTGAGGATAAACCATCTAGATAGTTGTCTCTTATGTTTAACCTCCCTTTTGTGACTTCAGGAGATTATTTTTCTTATACTAAAATCAAACCTAGTTATGTCAGCCTTTCATTAAATCAAGGCAAAAGGGAGGCAATACTGTGGTATGCATCAGGTGGTTTAATGATGACACAGACTACTCTTATTTCCACTAGTTATCTCTATATGATTCTTACATGTACACAAACACACACCGGTTCAGATGAGTGGCCTGGGCTTTCTGACAACCTTTGGGACAGCTTCAAGAAGGTAAGCCTTAAAATAGGAAAGGCTCGAGTGAATATACAGCATTTGACTCATCTAAAATGGGCCATTCTAGACACAGTAAATTCGTGTCTAGAAGCTTTTCTACAGATTGTAGGAAATGTTTAAAGTCACCAGTTACTATAGAAAGAAGGGAAGGTGGGCAGGTACAGGGTGGAGCAGGGAAGGAGAAGCCCTTGGGGTACCCTTGTGAGGCACTGGCAGGGCACAGTGGCAACAGAAGAGACAAGATTTTATCAAAGGACATTGGTTGGCTCTGTAAACAAAGGTCTCTAGAGAATATGCCATACTATGAACACCTATCATCAACAAAATTCAAAGTAGAAAGTAGCTTACAATGTGGGCTACATATTAGGGAGCTTATAGAGTTGCAATTATTCAAAAGTTCTGAGCACAGAGAGACAAATCCAAACAGATATTCGTCAAACGAAGGAGTCAAACAAATCTCCGGTTTGTAATTGCCTCCTGAAAGCTGTTTGGCTTTTACAATGAGTATTGCATCAAAATAGACGCATATTCTATATAAATATCCGTTTAAGTCTCTTGACTTAAAAGGAAAGAAGACAGACAGTACCACAATACGGGAGTGCCGCTCGTCACACGCTCTGGCCACTTGGGACACCTGCCCATCAGGGTGGCACGTCACTGCCTCCCCATCACCAAATCCTCTCCCTGGCCTTAGGACGCAGCTGCATCCCGCTGGCGGCCCTGCCAAAACGGTCCCCACATGCAAGGTGCAGGGTGCCAATGCCCCATCGCGGGAGAGCCTGCAGCGCTAGATTTGCAATGACGCCACATGGAGAAAACGTGAAAAGAAACAAGGACGAGAAGGCGACACCAAACAAAAACGTGCTCCCTTCTTTAGTGGTCCATTGAAAAAAAAAAAAAAAAAAAAAAGAGAGAGAGAAAGAAAGAAGGAAAGAAAAAGGAAAAGGAAAAAAAAAGAAATCCCAAACTAGAAATGGTCAAGACCGGCTTATCAGGACACATTCGGGATACCCCTAATCCTTACCTGGGCTACGAAACAGATGTTTAAAAATTAGAAGTACCTGGGAAATCAACTTGGACGCATTATAAAACAGAATTTCCCCACCGTCACCATTACCACCAGCCACGGGTAAATAAAAACCCAGCACTTAGGCTACTAGCAACTACATTTTAATTACACAGCTGAGGTTTACATAATTGCAAATTACATAATACTGCCGTGCACTAAAAACCCTTCCATACACAGGTGAAGCTTCACACCATCCAGTCTTTAACATTTTCCAGAGAGGGCTGGAAAAGTCTGCTGAATAACTGAGGGGACGGAGAGGGGGAATGGGGTGCTAGAAAAGTCACCCTTGACAAGCTGCACACCCGACCAAATGTTCCAGGATAAAGAGGGACTCGGAGCAGGTGAATCCCCTCCGCCCCAGTGTCCGGGCGTGTAAGGCCAAGGCAGGGCGAGCGGGCGCGGGGCGCGGGGCACGGGGCCGGGCTTACCTGCTCCCCGAAGTCGATGGCTATGTTGGTGATGCCCAGGGGCACCAAGAACCGGATCAGGGGCCAGTAGTGCGTGAGCGCCGGGAATTTCACCATAGTCCCCGCCGTGGGCTGACCCCACACACATCTGCTGCCGCGAGGGGACTCTGCGGGGAGGCAAAGGGCGACGGGGCGAGCGGGGCGCGG